TAACAAGACAACATACTTCTTTGCAAGAAAGGAGTATGATCATCCTCCACATAATGTCCAATTTGCTGGCTCTTGAAGAAAATATTCTGAAGAGAGTGGCTACCTTTCAAGTAGTGTCCAATTCTAAGAGCTTTTTCTGATGCTACCAGGTGTTTATACAGCTCTTGTTCATCATAATAATTATACATGACTGGGTTAGATGGACCCAAAAGGTCAAGAAGCACCAAACATTTCTGCACAACAACAAAAATGATTAATTATCATGAATACAGCCCATTACAAAATATTGCAGGATTACTTTAAGCATTAATTTAACTTACCACTTTAGATAGAGTATTTTCACGTTCCATTTTTTTTGCAAGGTGACGCGCACCATAAAGAGAATCATCTGGTCCCCAGTTTACAAAAGCCTCCTCACCATCAAAAAACCATAGTTCCAGGCTCAAATCCTAGAGGAAAAATGTCAATTTTTTTGTATAAACAAACAGTTACCTGTTTAAGACAGGACTTGAGACTGAACTTACAGAGTGTTTAAGTTTGTGAAGGTTTTCTTGGAGACACTCTGCTAGGTTGAGAAGCATTGCACAAGGCACAGCTGAATCAGAGGCACCCAAAAATTCCATGTTTGGAAAGTACTTTGAATCATAGTGACAAGCAAGTACAACATATTGCTTGGCCGAAGGATTAAGTCGGCCAATAATGTTTTCAAACACAAGTGGTCCAAAATTTGGTGTCTGATTAGTAAAAGAATCAGATGTCACCGTCCAGCCAAACTTTTTTAACTGGCCAATAATATACTGAAAAATAAATTAAAGTAACACATATAAAAGCTCATTTAAAAACAACAAAACAATCAATTACAGCAGATCTCACTAGTCTCACCTCTTTAACTTTGGAGTGAGATGGGGTTCCGACAACTCTTGGGACAAGAATATTGTTCAATGTCTCCAGGAAGCTATTTGTGTTTGAAGTTGTCACTGCTGTGACTGTTTTTTGAAGCATGTTTTGACTGGTTGGAGAGGGCTCCTGAAAATAAAAAAAAAAATAGTACATTCAACTTATAATATCATATAAAATCAAGTTTACCGCTAAAAATAAATTCATGTTCCATAAATCCTCTCACCCGAGGTTTCATCGTAGTTGCGTTATCTGAAAAACAAAATAAAATAGAGTTAGAGATCAAAGACAGATATTCAGTTTAGACTTAAAATATTCACTGTACAAGCCGTGTAAAATTACCATAGCCCAGGAGAGAATTGATGATTCCACTTGCACCTGCCCACAAGAGGCACACACATACTCCACACACACCCACATAACCTACAACTGGAAGACAACGACCACGTCGAGACCGGCGGTAAGACGACATAACATAATTGTTCCACGAATACAGAGCTAGCTTTACTCAGATCTCTTTTGCAGGGTACAATGTTAAAATCGAGAGATGTAGCGAGTGGTACCTTCAATCTAATCAATCGGAACTAGACATGTCAACAAAATTGTTTTGAAACCGTCAGGTCTAATTTTTCATATTCCGACCCGACGTCTTGCCGACGCAGACAATCAGCCGCCGTTTGTCGTCTGGTGTCGTAGGAGAAAACATCACTGTATTTCCACTAAAAGCGCTTTAATTGAAATGTTGTTTGGTTCGTTATACTGGTATGCATTTTGGTTTTTCCGACCATTAGTCAAGTGGTTTCTCAGAAAAACCACGAAGTTGTGTGAACTCCAACGAGTGTGCTATGGTGAACCAAGCGGTGCATCCAGAACCTTAGGTGTGGAATTTTCTTTGGTTCACTCTAAAGTGCAAAGAATTCAAGAAGTTGTGGGAATGATGAATGAAAGAAGTGAAAATTGTGAATTTACTGGAAAGTTCTTGAAGTCAAATATCGAACTTGCTGTGATTAGTTTAATTCGTGTAAAGAAGATTAATCCCACCATTCATACCCAGTTCATTAAATCATTCGGACGTACAGTGGAACAGATCTGGGGATATAAACAACTAACAGTTGAGGTGGAAAATCTGAGAAGAACGCCTTACGATGCCTCGAATCCTGAGCATGAAGATCTTCTGATCGGTTTGTGGGAAAGACTTAATCCAGATATACCGTTAGAGGCACGTATCACCAAGCAGTGGCAGGATATTGGTTTTCAAGGTAAGATATGGTATGCCACTACCAGTAAAATATATCAAATTATTATTTAGGAGTCTGAAATTTTGATTATTTTTTCTTTGCCACCAGGTGATGATCCCAAAACAGATTTTCGAGGAATGGGTCTACTGGGCTTGCACAATTTGTATTATTTTTCTGATTACTACCAAAAAGTTGCGCAGCATGTTTTACTACATTCTCAGCATCCTGTCAATGGATATACTTTTGCAATAGTTGGTATTAATCTAACGAGCCTAGCCTATCATCTTCTTCAAGATGGAGCAGCCAAGACTCATGTATTCAATTTTGTCAAAGGAAGTCCTGTTATGAGACATTTCCATCAATTGTACTGCTATTTGTTCTGTGAATTCGATAGATTTTGGTTTGATTCAAAACCCAAAAGTATTATGGACTTCACTAGAATAATAGATGCCTTTGAAGTTTCTATTAGATCCTCTCTTGCCAATCCTCAAACTGTTTTCAGAATAAACATGCTTGTCGACACCATCTGAAGCTCATCTGAAGCTCTTTTGCTTGTACAATGTAAATCTCTATTATTCTATCTAAGGACCACTCCAGTAAGATAATGATTGGATAAAGACTTTATTTATGTGTGGAACAATATTTATTATTAAATTCTTTATGTTACGACTAGACTATTACTATGGGGCCAAACTGATATTAATTCTTATGTAAAGTAGCTGATTAACAAAAATACCAAACGCATAATGACTGAGATTTATTGAGAACTGATATCTAGAAAAGGGACGCACTGTGGAAAATTTAACAAATGTCAAGTTTTATGTACATTTATTTCAGCACCAATAAAGAGTGAAAGTAACAAAAGAGGTGAATAGTATTTGTTCCATGTCATACCTCAATCTTCTACAAATTTGTAGTATGACATGTAGTGATCAAAACCACATTTCCAAACTATACATGAAACAATAAGAGTAAATGTTATGTGAACAAAATAATGAATGCCATTAAAATAGCAAAGAGTCCCATGGCCTCAGTGAGCGCAAATCCCAGGATGGCATAGGAAAACAGTGCATTTTTAAGGGTAGGATTACGAGCATAAGAAAACATGAGGCTGCCAAAAACAATTCCAACTCCAGCACCTAAGAGAAAACGTTGTTTGTACTGTCAATCATATGGAACAGAATATTAACAAACATAGTTGAATGTCCCTTCCAAGGATCACAATTTTTCAAAGCCAATTAACCTGGCTACATCAACCAAATTCAAAATTTTAAACTTAGCATAATCTCATCGCTTGAGAGAAATTACAAACTAAAATTTGAAATTGATTCATCATGCCCTGGGCTCTTGAAAATATGTCATCTTTGTAGAGAGCCTCAACTATAAGCCTGAAGACTATTTTACAATTAGTTTCAAAATTCTACTACACTGACTTACCAGGACCAGCAATCCCAATTGTAGCCATTCCAGCCCCCATCAGTCTTCCTGCATTATCAATATCAAATCTTGATGGAGTTGTGTGAAAGTTTCTCTCTGCACAAATCTAGATAAAATGAAAACAGTCTCCAGATGGATGTTTCCAAGAAGCATGTGTCGTGTCCTGCATATAGAGGGCGCTAGTGTACACCCTGTGAATAACTGCTGAGGATCTGTGAATAAAGATCAGTCATGGTGTAGACAAGTAAATGGCCGGTTCGTTCCTTTACCCTGAGCTACCAAATCTAATTGCATCTGGAGAAAAGAGAGAATCCTACAGCATGGAGGACAACAATAAAAAAAACAGAACTACCTTTGACGATACTCTTTGTACATGGTGTAAACCACTTCTTTGATACTCTTGGGTATGGTTGACAAATCCAGAGGTACAGGAGTATTTACAGGAAATTGTCAGAATCCTGAGCAAACTCTTATGAGATGCTGCAGCCACAGGAGAGGGGACACATCCACCATACTGCAATGTAGAGTTAAACAAAAACGGAAACTAAATTTACAGTCTATTAATACCAAAGAGAAAAAATTGTGTTTAGATTTGGAACCTACAAGTAATGGTATGTTCTGGAAGGTAATGACGGGGCGAAACGACTGCATGATGCACACAGGACGTCAGGAGTTCCTTTCACTGCTCTGTGCCTCTGTGCTGAGATGGCTGTTGCCTCTTCGTTAGAAACAATTGTGATTATGTTTGTGTTTCTTGAAGACTTCCCCCTTTTGTTGTTTGCCAATGCAAAAACAGCAAAAATAAAATGAAAATTCATAAGCTCATGAGGAAACTGGTGATGTAGATGTATGGCAATCATCAGCTCCAGTGTTTTATTTCCAGAAACATTTTATGCCTTGGTCCCTGACATTATGAAGAATAACAGGGGTGAACCGATTGTATCAGTAATCAGTGGATATGGTGGTGAGACTGAATTTGTTTTCTTTTGTTTTGTGTGTTGCAGATCCTTCTTCATTGTTGTAATATTGTAATTGTTGTTTCAGCTTTAGGCCAAACTGAAGATAAAAGTACCTAATAGAATAAAAAACAAACTGACTTACAATATTTATTTTACTTTTATTTCTATTGGACAATCACATTTTTAAGAACAAGAACTATATTTTTGGAAATTTGGTTTTGAACGATCAGCTAACATATGATGAAGTTTGTTCTTGGTTAATACTTTATTTTCTGATTTAAATAAGTTCTTATTATGATTATGAAATACATGAGGTGACAATCAACAAGGACAAGTAACTTTGCTCAATGGTTGTAATAAATTAGCTGATAAACTGAGTTTTACATTGCTCAGTTAGCTGTGACGGTTAATTTCCCCTCCTACATGGTTTAGTTTATCTTAATAAAGAAGAATCCTCTGAATTGACTAAGGAGACTTATACTCTCATGAAATATAGATTCAATCTTTAATGTGCTCATTTGCACTACCTATATGGCTTATAGAAGGCACTAAAACACTGTGTAAATCAATGCCCAAATAAGTGAAAATCACAAATAATAATATTAATTTAGTGGCACATACTCTAATAAATATATCCATCACATAGAGATTTTATGTAGATAGCCATGTATACGGTAGATCAATTATACAATTAATACAGTAATATTCAATACAGATGGTTAACTTTATGGGACAACATGATAAAATTATCTGTTGTAAAGCGTATCAACTAGAGTATATATTTGTTGGAAATGAGGTCTTCTCACTGGATCAGTGTCCCAGCATTTTAGCATGAGTCTGTACATATCTTCTGGGGTACCATCTGGTGAAGGCATCCGATAACCTGAAATTAAAAATTGCATATTTTATTTAAATTTCAATCTGACATTGTTGGTATCTTCAGATGTTAAAAATCACATACCAGCATCGATTTTTTCTCTTGCTTTTGTGTTATTAAATCCTGCATATGGAGTTCCTCCTCTTGAGAAAACCTCCCAACACAGAATTCCATAACTCCACACATCACAAAGAGAGGTGTATTTGCCTAGAACATAAATTATTCGAGATGTAGAACAAACCTTCAACCTTCAAAAATCAGTTAAAATGCTAATGAATGAGGCTTACCAAAATTTAGTGCTTCAGGGGCTGTCCACTTTATAGGGATCTGCTTCATTCCATCTGAAACTATGTATTCCTCTTCTTCTCGTGACATTCCAAAGTCAGAAATTTTTACAATGTTCTCATGGCCTGTATAAAGAAAACAAACATTTTATAAAATTTGATCTGATTATATTTTTTACATTATCTGACTGATGACAATTTTAGGTGTATTACATACCCACAAGACAGTTTCGTGCAGCTAGGTCTCTATGAATGCAGTTTTTACTCTCCAGGTATTCCATCCCAGCAGCAACATCGCGGCACATAGCAACCAATTGCTTCTCCGTTAGCATTGCAGAGTGATTTCGCAAAAATACTAATAGTGAACCACCTTTCAAAAAGAATTTTCAAACATGTTTCAATAAAAACATAAAATAAAATAAGAATGATAAATTATCACTGTAAAGCCTTCACTATACCTGGTACTAGTTCCATGACAATCATAATAGGTTGCTTTTGAACAGCTATTCCAATAAATCGGACAATGTTTGGATGATCGTACTGTTTTAAGATTCTTCCCTCTTGTAGAAATTTCCGTTTATGCTCATCTGGCAGCTGAACCCTACACGTTTTTACAGCTACTTCTTGTCTTCCTGGCTTCAACTGAGCTTTGTAAACATCACCAAAATTACCCTAAAAAGCAGATCAGTACAAATTAGTTTTAAAACTTTGGGTCAAAGTACCTTTAACATGAGTAGAATTACATTACCCGTCCAATTTTATCTTGTAGGATTATGTCATCATTATTTAACTCCCATCGTTCTCGTGGAATAGGGTGCCTCAATATAGCACCTGACCGACTTGTTACTGGTTGACCATTATTGTATTGATAAGCTATTAAGGCTGATATTGTTGGGAAAGCCGGACCTTCAAACCTGTATTGACCCTGTACAGGTTTAAATGTGTGTCAGAACAGATTTAAAAACAAAAATCTACATCAAACAACAACAGTTAAGACATAAGTTTACCTCGGCTGTAGTTTGAACTATAAAGTGTTTATGTCCACCCCAAGATACTGAAAGCACAGTCTGACATTCATCATTTCTTGTGGTTTGGCGTACTAAAAAGTCTCCTTCATGTTTCAAAAGCCTCACCACTTCTTCACGAGGAAGAACTCCGTGAAACCATTCCTCATCTGCTAAGGATCTTGTTGGATTTACCGAATCCTGCACATAAATGATTTTTTTAAAATGTTGAATCAAGATTTTTACTGACAAATCATGCATAATTTTGCAAGAGCACAAACACTTAAACAAACAAACTGATCCTAGCAGAACATGCTTTATATAAACACTAACATTCATCATGCATGACAATCAAAAGACCTTCGCTTGATCTTTAACTGTAAGGCTTATTCAAAATCAAAGAGAAAATTAGAGTAAATAAAAAGGGACAGCTCATTCAGATTTTGATGGCACAATATTATTTTTTAAATTACTGCAGACTATTTTCTCTTCAACTCTATTAAGAGGTTCAGGAAAAAACTGTAAATCTAGATGCTGTTAGCTTACCATATCACAATTAAGAGAGTTAAGCACCAGGCAGGGATTAGGAGGTTGATCAGGAACACACTCCTGGTTATTCATCAAAAAGCGGTGAGCTGAAGATGGCGACAAGTCCAATCCGCGGCCATCATTCACCTCAGTTACCGCTGGGCAGTGCTCATCTTCAAAATCCACATCTGCCCTCACCATGTCCATTTCTCCTTCTCCAACTACACCAACTACCACTCCATCTTCGTGATTAATTCTTCTTCCAGCTACAGGGGAGGTTGGCACTGATTTTCTGCGGAAAGGCTTTCTCAGAATGCTGACTAGACGTTGCTGAGCACAAAGACGCTTGTGAGCTAAAGAGGATGGGTCATCCTGGGAGGATCATCATTAAAATAATTAATAATAGGTACATTCACTGTGCATACGATATTTTTATATCAGTAAATGGAAATAGTTATTGCTGTTAGTGTCCAGCCAAGGTACAGTACTGTACCAAAAGCAAAAAATCCACTCCAATCTATTTAAGGATTACAGTAATTGTATTTTTTTTACCTGTAATTGTTCTGATGTATCTATAAAAGATGTTTCCAAAGGAATATCACAGCCAGGAGGGGCCTCCTCACACCCTAATGAGGCAAGTGCACCTTTTATCACTTCTGCTTGCCTTGAAATTTTATGTTCTTCACAACGAATGTCATTTAATTCTTTGCGAACTGTATCTAAACTTGCCAATCTGAAATATCAAATAACAAATTTTAGAAAGGACTGATCTGGAGCATTTTGTTCTTTTCTCTTTATATTCCTGTTTTCTACCTGTGTACTTCTGGAGAAGAGCCCCCATTTGTTTCTGCACTAACTGCTGCTGTTCGGAGGACAACATGTCTCTCCTGAATATCTCGAAGCTTAGCTTCTAAATCCATTTGTTTGTTCCGCAGCCAATCAATAGTTAAATTGTCTACTGCTAGAGCATTGGCAACAAGACTTCCTGATGTGTCTTCCACCAAAGATTCATCAAAAGAGAAGTTTACAGGAATAACAGGACATGTTCTGAAAAAGAAAATTATTTATGAATAGCCTCAAACACTTCATACATTATTGTAGGTTCAATCATACTAACTTGTGTTTTTCTGTGAAGTCCTTGTACTCCTCTGATGGCCTCACTTGTTCAGCACAGCTGGTCATCCGGTTCTGAATCTCTCTAAACCTCTCATCACTCAGATTTGAGTACTTTGCCAGCTCTTGCAGAACAGAGCGCCTGAAGAAATACACACAAATGAAAGTTAAAGCAGGCACATGTTAATGCATCGACCAGATATTCTTTTGTCTGTCTATTTACCACGAAGAGATGAAGCCCTCCTGCAGTGCCTGCTGACACTCCAACAGGCCAGGCAGCAGGACGGTGCGGAAGTCCCTCTCGAACTCGCTCGCCTCGCTCAGCAGCAGCACGTACTCGTTGTGGGTGAGGTGGAGCTTGCGGCACGCATTCTGATACTTGGCGCTCACATCCTCCAACTTGCGGCCGCCCCTGCCGGCTGCAACACGACATGAGGACAGCCGTGAGACACGGGCAGTCTGCAGTGCGTACAGCAGCGCGGCGGCAGTCTCCTGGCCCGCCTCAACTTACCCTTGATGTAGTGCTCCTCGAACTTCCCTCGGGTGAACTTGTACGCCTCCAGGGCTTTAGAGTACTCGGCCTTCTTGCGCGCCACATCCTCGCTCAGCTGCAAACAAATCAAACCGAACAGGGCGTCAGCAACGCGGTGGTACACCAGGTGGGCGGGGCGGGGGTAGAGGGTAGGGTAGGTGCAGAGAGAGGAGGGGGGAGGGGGGCAACCCGCACACCCCCGGGCCGAAATAATTGCTTTGGACATTTCAAGTTTTTACTGCGCGCCCGTTTCCTTTTGTTTTATTATTTTGCGGGCGAACGGCAAGATCTCTACTGCCCCCCCCCCTCCTTTCCCCCCGGTTGCTCAACGAGCAGGCGACGAGGGCCCGACGCACAGTTCCCGGAATCTCATGCGAACAAGACTAAGGAGTCGGGTGGGAGCCAGAGCCAGAGCCTCATGAGGAGGATCCCAGGAGGATCGAGGGAGGGCCAAGACCGCACACCGCACCGAAGCTAGACGGGGGAGGTCGCGGAGGGCCAGCAGCTGGACGGGCTGACCGACGTTTCTTTGCCTTTGATCTGAATCGTGTACCCTCCCCTACAGCCCATCTCCCCGTTGCTGCCCGCAGAGGCTGCCCGGGGCGGGGACTTGACCAACTTGGCTCTGGCCGCGCCGTTGGTGTCAGCCCGCACCACGGTCTGGCCCGGGGGTACAACTGGCAGTACAGTGCGGTGCGGATGGTCCTGGCCTGGGGACCGAAATAAAACACATACGGAGCCACACGTGGTGGTGGCGGCGTTGCCCGTGGCCCTCGCCGAGGCCCTGGGCGAGGCCGCCGCCGTGACGGCTCCCACATGAACCCCTCGCCCCATACGCGCGTCGGCGCGTCACCGGCCCCGGCTGCTTCTGTCCGGAACCATTTGGTCGCGTTCCTGGCGCGCCGCGCCGCCCCGGCCCGGTGGTCTGGCCGAGGCGGGCGGTGGCCTCCCCCGAAACCATTGACGTGTTTACCTAATCGTTTCCGCGCCCCGAGCCGCTCGGGGACCAGACCACCTTGTGCTCCTCTGCGGCTGGCTGGGCATCGGAAGCAGGAGCAGGGCCCCGGGTCTTTTGGCACAACTCTATTTCAAGCGACAGTGACGACAGGACAGGCGGGGTGGGGTATGGGCCGCTGGCCGGTGAGGCGGGGCGCGGGGCGTCGTCGCGGCCCCGCGGGCGGGGAAAGGCGGG